ACTTAATAGCCTTTTATAAAGCGTTAATTAATAATAATAAAGGTTTTAAGTTACACTTATATAAGTATTATATAAAGTAAAATATAATACTTTAATACCTAATTAATAATAATAATTATTATAATTTAATATAAAGAAAGTAAGTTATATAAGTCTTATTTAAGTACTTAAAAACACCTAATATCTCTAATAAATAATTATAAGTACCTTATTTTCCCCTATAAATCTATTTAGGTCTTTTTTTCCTACCTATACCTACCTAAAGCCCACGAGTAAGCAACCCATACGGGTACCCGTGGACCTTTTACACCCTAGCATTGGCCTTAACACCACCAGACCACATGCACGCATTTCCAACCTCACCACTACCACCACCACGCACCGCGACAAGTCTTTCCCGCGCCTCAGACATGGCCACCACGAAGCGAAACTAGCCCGTCTCGCGTCGCCTGCCCCCCATCTCCTTTTCCACCACACCAGTTACAGAGCATGGCGCGCTCCGACGAAGCCGCCGCCTTCTTCCACGCCGTCTACAGCGCCGTGCAAGAGATTCCACACGGCAAAGTGACTTCGTACGCGCACATTGCCACGCTAGTAGGATCGCGTATGTCGCCTGCTCCTTCCCTTCCATCCTAGCCGTCATCGTTTTCATCGCGCAAGGACTGACGAGGGACCGAGGGCGTGGTAGCACAACGGCCCAGACAGGTGGGCATGTGCATGAAGCACCTGTCGAGCGATGCGTCGCATCGCTTCAACAACGCCAACGTCCCGTGGCAGCGGGTCATCAATTCCAAGGGCGTCATATCGCCGCGGTGCGTTGATTTCCCCGCCCTGCAGCCTCCCGGCAATGCATGCTGACGAACATGGTGGCTGCAGGTCCCAGCCAGGTGGTGCGCAGAATCAGGCCGAGGCGCTGAGGGACGAAGGCGTCCAGGTCACTCGCGGCGCAATGGGGGAACTCATGGTTGACTTTGACGAGTACGGCTGGTTTCCACGCGTCTTGCCGTCCGAAGCTGTTGGCGACGAGGCATGGAAAGGCAGCAATGGTGAGGAGGAGGGTGAGTAGGCAGGCCTGTTCAACGGCGGGCTGGAAGTGTGTCCTACATGGATAATAATGGCGACGGCACATGGTCCCTGGCGTTTATTCTCCCGTTCATTGTTTTGACACTGGGTCTGCCCAGATACTGGTAGATTATATGAGAATACTTTGTGGTAATATCATTGAGCAGATCACACGCGCTATCCTAAGCTATCTCAACTCGGCCTTTGCCATGTTCGTCTTATTACCCTATCACCCACGCTTCTGAATTCACTGACCAAAACCCGAAACTAGCCCTTCCTTGGCCTAAAAGCAGCACACCCCATACTCAATACCCTGGGCTTTTCCTGAATAAATATTCTCTTCCTCAGAGACAATTATTTTACCGAAGTGGTACCAGAACTCATTCATGTTCCTGTACTATAATTGGCTCGTCCTAGGTGTCTTGCTGGTCTCGTTTGGTCATCTATCCCGCGTGATGGGTTCAAAAGATCGGCCTTGGTGCAAGGCGTGCCATGGCTCGGTTCCGAATGTCGTTTTATCGGGTGTCTAATATTCCATTGAAGGCAACACGCTGGAATTCATCGGGTCTCGCTCCAGGAATATTCCCAACCTTATGATCGGTAGCAAGATCAAGAAGTTGTTTAGCCAAAAAAGAAGCGGTATCGTTAACATTGGCTATGGGACTCATCTTTGCTAATAGGGTTAGTGCTATGCCGGTAACGAGAGGCGTTGCGAGGGAAGTGCCGTCTGAGACTTTAACGCCGCTCTTTTTATCGCCACCGAGAATTGTAATGTTCTGGCTAGGAGCATGAAAATCGACGAGAGGACCACGATTCGAGAATTCCGGCTTGTCCTAACTCTCTTTCAATGCACCGACGGATATGTGAAAAGGCGCATCAATGGTTGGATAAAATACTGGCTCACAAATACTTACTTCCCATTATTTCCCACTACGTTAATCGTAAAAATACCGAACGCCCACATGTAGTCAGCGGTCCCTGATAAGCTTCTTCCATAGTTAAGAAACCTGGCTCTGTTCTAATTAGTTTATCGTGAATATATAAACTTAAATGCCAACTTACTCGGACGAGATTTTCCGCGTTTCAAAAACCTATTTCTGCTGCTTTAGTTTTCTCGGCTTAGTACCATACTTACCCATTGAAAGATTGCTAACAGCACGGCCAGCCCGATTTTTTGGCCAAGATATCTTGAGTAGCCCACGTTAAGCCTTTGAGTATTCCCAACCCTTTGGCATCGACGGTTACGCCAATCAACAAGTATTCGAGCCGATGAGACCAGCAACAGCAGTACCCTGCGTATGATCTGCGAACTCAAGTTCTCTTAAGTTATCACCGAGTGAAAGACGACGACCAAGCTCTTTGTGGTCAGGTTCGAAGCCAGAATCCACGATAAGAGCGAAGAAGCCCTCGGGTGCGCTGTCATCGTAAATATAAGAAGATGCTGCTGGTTCCCGGCTAGAGAGATTAGCGGAATCCAAGGAGCAGACTTCTGTTCGACATTTGCAAGAGTATCTGCAGGAGTGTCCTGTACTACATTGGAAACCTACGTAAACATCAAGAATGGTTAGCTTTAATATAACGATAATTCTGCCAAGCGTACGCTCCTCTATAGACGTACCCCTGGACGATGTAGAATTGTTCACCGTGGATTCATCGAATTCTCCATCGTAGCCAGGCACATTGCCAATATCAAATCTGCCTTGTACTCCAGCCAAGCCTTTTGAAATGTCGTTGTTCGCTGCAAGAGCAGTTGTTCACATGGAGAACAACGCCACTAGAGCGATGAAGTGTTTATAAACAGCCATGATATAATAAAAAGTAAGTCTTGTGGTTTGAGGAATAATCTATTGGTGTGCAGCAAGTTTATTTATTAGAGAGCCTCGACAAGTTTCACGCGATATTAAACCCGGCGCACAGCCTTACGTCACGTCATATCCGGCCACGGGAAGTGGAGCTAATTATGCGGATTCTTATTGTTTCTCCGCTTATTTCAAAGAAAAACTCGATACTCCGTAATTCCCCCCGTTTTAAAGAAACAATACCTTCCCCTTGCTGTGGCACTCTTCGTCGGTGACGCTACAGGCTGCGTAGACTCTCATGCCGATACTTACCGCATCACGCCATGCTTTATAAGCGTGGGAACTCTCACGACATTTATTATTGACATGCGAATGGCAGCAAAATTTTGGATGGAAAGTGTTGATGGGCGGGTTAGTAGCTCCCTCGTCACCAGGGGGCACAGATGGGTTTGCCGCCCCAGAGTGGCTCTTTACACGGAAACATTTTTAAATAATATCATGTTTCACATACTTGAATAGGAGCTTTGCGGTACTGTTGTTGTCCACGCTTTTTTGGATTTAGCGATTCATTTCGGCCGCGTCGCTGGCAGCAGTCCTTATCCGACTACGTGCCGCGCTAGATGGCAAATCCCCAACCATAGTACTTGTTTGGACGCACCCGGCAGATCATATCTCCAAAAGAGTCTTTCTAAAACCCCGTGGCTCTACTTGAGGACTCGGGGTCCAATCTGGGCGGCCGTCGATTACTTATTGTAGGCATTGCTTAGTAGTGGCAATGGAAGTCCGAAGCTGCTATGTTAGATTTAAGAATGGTAGGTACTAGTGACAGATATTTTAGTTCCAACTGTGTGAGAATCATGTGCAGTCTAAGAAAGACAAAAGAGATGTGTCGCTTGTGGTACTCGACGTTTTAAAATAAGCAGATTGACCTTTGCTGGGGGCATGAATAGTACCGATTGCACCACACAGAGTAGCAGTAAATGGCAGGATACAAACCAGTTCCGCTAGATATCTGCCGCTCTGAATACCTCCGCAAGTTCCGGAGAGCAGACGACGGCGGCCGCGACATCTGTACAAGGACAAAAGGCAGAGCACCGCCGCTTCAACCACAAAGACCGGCGCAGCTGCTTGGTTCTACTGAGGGCATTGGCACCGCTTTACTTGCCGCTGCCATCTCAGATAAACTAATAGATCTATAAAACACTATGAGATGAGGCAGGTTTTTTGATAGTATTGACTTACCCGACTCTTTGGCCTATTGTCGTGATAGGTACCCCTAGCGCCGGTCTTGTGGTAGTATCTTTTCCTTGTACAGGATTCCGACACAAAACTGGGGGACATCTTCGGCAATATAATTGGCATAAAATTACCCCGCAAAGATAGTGCGCTTCTTTGTAGCAGATCCTAGTTTCATCGTGACGCCGTCTGGTATCCTGCCCGTGCTGCAGGCTCGTTAGCATTCGATGTTCCAACTTGGGGCGGCCCAGAGACATGTGCAAGAGTGTGTCTTGAAAGCTCGATATTAAACGTAGTAATACGTACTATCTCAACTTGACTGATACATAACGATGGGAGACCAAGATATTTAACCAGATCGGGTACCAGTCTATCGTGTTCTACATTTAAAATCGTGGCTAATTCCGCCAAAGGGGTGGTCAAATAAGCCCTCCCTTATAGTGTTAGGCTGTACGGAGTACTCTGGGAGCATAATTATGTCCTACTATAGAATGTGTATTGTATAGTCTGGATGACGTGGAAAAAGTCTCATCCGCTGCCATGGGTGTCCTTGATTGTTGTCCCTGGTGCCTATCCCCAAACCAGGGAACATAAACCAGAGAACCATAACAGGTTGAAGCAACAAGTTCTCCCGGGCGTGATTCGAACACGCGACATTCTGATTCAACTGATGAGACAATTACAGTCAGACGCCATAAACCAACTAGACTACCCGGAGATAGACAAATTTGTGTGCCTGGAGGTCGGTTATCGTATCATATGTTGGACAACTTCCATGGGCGCCCTACACTAGTTCTTCGTGACCCTTTCTTCACCCTCGCAATCACCGAGACGTTCACGAATTGTACCTATATCTGGATATGAGTCGCTACTCTTTTACTTTTGAACATGGACTTTCGAAGCTGGGCTGATCGCCCCTTTATTAGCCGTTTTCTTGATAAACAGGCTGTAGAATGAATGTGGAAGCGAGAGTGTGCGTCTGGGTCAACCATCAGCAAGATCTTGCTGTGTTGGACGATACAGAATGTCCTACTCGCAGCAAAAAAACCCGAAGTGAAGTGTCGACACCAGGCCCTAATGTCTTTCTTCGTTGCCGATTTACTGATGTATGCACATAGAGAACAAGCTTCAGCAAGCAGTCCTGAATGACAAGACTCGACCCCTATTAGACCGTACAAACTATATTGGGAGAGTGGGAAGTCTATTCGTGCGTCTGGAACTTTGAGACTAAGTCGACGCGACCAAGGAACTCCCGCGCGCTTAAGAAGAGCATCTGGCTCTAGCCCTGGAGCAAACAGCAAAGGAACTGCTACTGTAAGTGATGGATACTGCGACGAGTGTAGTTTATCGGCCTCTTACTAGGAAATTCAATTCTTAGAGCAGTCATGGTCTGACTTGCAAACAGCCATGGTCAATGCTGGTTACGAACGACATCGGCATGATGGCTCAGCACAGAAATATGAGCGCGTGAAAAGACACGGTGGCAAAAACGGTACTCCTGGGGGTGTTTCACTTGCCAAGTCCCGTTTTTGACATCATGGTGGCCCGGAAAGCCCCAGAGAAAACAAGAATGAATTTGTGACAGGAGAGCTACGCAGAGAATTGCGACGGTATGATCTAGTCGGGACATACTCCAACATGATAGTTGAACATAAGCCCAACCAGGCGCGTTTGGAACATGACTGAGATTCTAAACTCGTCTGTGTGACATGTCCTCCGCCGATATATAATTTGCTTTTTATTCTTCTTTGGACGTACAAAGGCAAGGCTAAAAAGTACAGGAACTCTCGTATAATACTTTATTGTATGGATCTATAAGCCAGAACTGGTTCTATATTAATCGTTATGAGATTGCAAATGTATATAATAATGGCGTTGTAGAAAGTTATCCTACAGACTCTTGGACTTTTTCGAGCGGCTGCAAAGCCATTTGTGCAAGGCTTATAATAGACTATTTAGGCATTCCACTTCGAAAAAGTCGTACATAATAGGCAATGTCCTTGAATTATGTGCGTGTTCATTCCGCAGCCCCTTGTCATTGTGGCGTGAGCCGAGTCAAGCAACAGAAAGAAGAACTCGCCCGTAGGCGTATCATATCTTTGAACTCCAGCGATATGTTTTCAAATACTTCTATCAGAAGATGGATGAACCAGTAACGACAACTCAAGGGACCTTTTTTTGCCAACAATGTTTCAATATGCAGACTTCACTTCGGTCCCAGGGAGGGATCCTGTGGTGAAAGCCTTCCACCTCCATACCGGGACGGTCACAAACTAGTCTTGTTGGGGTCATTAAAAAGTACAGCTCGATAAATCAGCTATGAATTAGTATCAAGTTCAGTATAATTTTGGGCAATTGCTATGCGTGCCAAACCACTTTACTACGGGGGCCGTCTTACGGGGCCGTGTACCTGGTATTCCAAATTCGGCAGTTACCCCAAAGCTTAGTAATTGATTAATTGTAGAGGAAAAATGAAGAATAGAGCAGTGGTTCCGGCAGGCGGGCGTCGTGCCGTGTCGGAGCGCGGGTTCCAGTATAAAAAAGGATAGTACACGACGTGGATTACACGGGATCGGCATGGGTGTGGTAGGGCAAAAGCGGCGACTCAACTAGAAAGCCTGCAAGGCTGCCTATCACAATCACTGTTGCCTTGAATAAGCGACTTTACCTTGACAACTGGTAGCACGAAGTTGCTGTGATTGGCTTACACGAACTAGGAAACCTCTTTTCATTCAAAGAAACTAGACTGCTAAAGATCGTAGTAGTAGTAGTAGTAGCTATAGTCTGGGGTGCTCATTCCTCGGAAAGAATTTCAAAAGGAAACAGGAGTGACTAGATGTTGCCCTTTGTGCCAGGCTTATTCCCCTCCGTCACTGGATCACGAAGAAATTGACGACTCGTCGCCCGGAAACCTACGCTGGCGCAAATCCGACGGCGCCGCTTACGGCGTCAAAGGCCATTTTCTTCAGGCGAAAGGCATGAGAGCCCGCATTCACAAAGCGTGGCAGTCTGGTCGAGTAGACGGCCCTAATGTCATTATCTGGCGCAGCCCCGGCGCCTGACCTTCCTGCCGCCACCGTGAAGCGCTCGCCATCAATGGCCGGGCTGCCAAAGCTGACGTCGACAATTGCGCCCGCCTTGAGGGGACTCGCTCCGCTCCCAGTCCGGGGCATGACGGCGTCGGTGGTGGGTGACCGGAGCCGCACGAACCCCCTTTGGAAGCCGGTGTCTAGCAGGACTTTGCACTTGACGCAGGGGGTCACGACTGTGGTTGGCGTCCCTCCGATGATGGTGTCGTATGTGAACTTGATGCAGCCGTCGAGTTGATCCCAGTCAAGGGGATGTCTGGGAACAGGTGGCGCGGAAGGCGGCGAGGGTGGGTGATGAGGCGGCAGCCGTGTGTATCTAAATTCTCGACTTCCGCCGGCGTTGAAGTTTGTCAGACCGGAATGGACTCCCCGTTTGGTGATGACCCAGCCGGGGCGGTAGCTGAACCAATTGACCGCGTGCCCGGCGACGGTCGTCATTTGCAGGAACGGGTTCTTGTCCGGATAGCCCTGGGGCTGGCCCGACTTCTGGCGCCCAAATCCGATGCCAAGCATCGAGAGAGTGGTGGGGTTTGTGTCAAAGACGACGGTGGGATCAGGACATGTGTTCGGCGCGGCCAGGACGTCGTATTCTCCAAATGAGCTTCGGGGATCACAGAAGGCACTTTCCGTCACCGCCAGGACTGGCACCGTGGCCGTCATCTCCGGCTGCGTGGTGCTGGCAGAGCCTGGGTTGAAGACGACCTCTTTCTTGATCCAACAGCCCCTATAGAGCTTGTCGCTGCTTGATAGATATTGCCATCCCACATCTTCTGTGGGACAGGTTCCTGGTATAAAGTCGGGTATCTCCTTTGCAACGAGCATAATGCCGGTCGAGCCCGTGTCAACGACCGGTTTGTAGTCCTTTGTTCTACCACCTACGCAGTCCACCGTGCCGGTGCAAGAGAGACGCATGGATACGTGAACCGTATTTGCGAATGGATCAGCCACTTGATTCTCGAGCCAAGGAACCAAGGTTGATTCAGTAAAGCCATCGAAAATATCGGCGCCCACGAAAGGGCGGAGAAGGACGAGACAGATAGTCAAGATTTGAGCTAGCATCTTGCTCGTTTTAATCTGAGATTTGGGATGGCTTGAGTGAGAAGAGAGAGTAGTTAGACTATAGCACCTCGAACCTCGAAGCTTGCCACGTCTTCCTGACTTTATACTAAAAAATGCGTTCTTGGTAGCGCGGAGAGGACCCATTGTCCGACATCATCCGGAGTCGCAGTGGCGTTCCAGATACACCCAGCCATTTGGTGAGAATCATTCACCGGAAACGGTCTGAATTCATACTGCAGCATCTGATATCACAGTCAGCTGGGACGCCACCGCTGAACCCAACTCGCCGGTCAACCGCATAAGCCGGCTGGCTTCGGAAAATGGGAGAGTAGCGTGGACACACTCATGCGTTCCCCGACAGTTGCCCTCAGCAATTACCAAGGCGGCTCGTGGCTCTGGCGCAGCCGCTTCTACCATTGCGCCCGCAGACTAATGTTTTCACAAATCCTGGCGGTTGGATCCCCAATTCAGATGCGATGGTTGAACTGTCGTCGCAGCGCAGGAACGCAATTGCGTGTGCAGTACTCGGCAGAGGTATTCAACCTACTTGCCACACCATGCCTATACTGTCCATCGGGCAGGCCGGTTAGGAGCTCTCACGACTGTTCTGATGGTTTTCTTGGAAGAAAGTGACTAAATATGTTATTTTGCGGGCGTGAATGCAACACGGGCACGGGAGAGTTTCACCTGCAGGCCAATCCATACCCCAGAATATGTCGCCATCGGAAGCCCAGCGAAATACCAGCCGAAAGTAGCATATACATGGAAACCCTACCCACGTTTATTGTCATAACATCCGTTTCTGATGCGGTGCAGATCTACCAACAACACAACTCAATCAGCCACGAGCTGCGCACTTAACGTCTCGCTGCGTGCGGCTTGTTTTTGATTATGGGATCATAGTGCGTGTGAAAATATATGCCAATAATAACACCAATCCTAGGTAGTCCAACCTGTGACGGTACAAGAGCACGAGCAGGGTCGAGTGCGACTCGATTATTTACAAGGAGGAAAAGAGAAGTCCCAAGAGGAACTCTGACCGAGGCTATTTCCATATCAAAGCCATTTATCTATTAAAAAAGGAGGTAATATGATTCCTTCAAATAAACCTGGTGTCAAGCGCTTGAAATCTGTGATCTGAGTCTTGGAAGCACTGCCTCTAATATATTAAGAGTTGGATGCACCGACGAGATACCGGCTGATGTCTAATTATCGCAAAAAGAACGCGCTCTAATTGAACAGCAACTATACCCCCTTATATTCCGTTGACACTGATCTGAGTCAAAGCCCTGATCTTCGTCATGGCATGGTTACAATGGTAGGGCAATTGAAGTTGAATTCATATTATTGGCAGGGATTAATGTATTGGCAGCTAGAACTTAATCTACCCATGCTATCGCTGCTTCAACCGGAGATATATATACGGAGCACCCACAGGGGCATGCTGTTAGGAAGCTTACGTATAAAACGATGTGATTATTGGATGTGAAGATAGTACTAAAGACAGAAGGGACTTTATACCGTCTTGGAGGGGGCGGCGGGAACTAGGCAACACGCAATACAACCCCCCCGGGGGATATTCTAAAATTCACTTTCATTCCATAAGCTAGTTGCCTAACTTTAATTCGGATATTGACCTGACTTATCGCACCCTACTTATGCTTGTTAGGTTTTCCTCCTGGACCCAACAAGTTTCTACCTTGGAGGCCTGCACTTCCGAGACATGTTCGCTGAGAAAGTCTGACTTTTTACCGTCATGGGTCAGGGTCGTCGATGGAAAATACACAGCCTGAACCCAAGATTCACAAGCCATTACGATGGCGGCTGGGTATAAACGGCGAAACCTCGTCCTGCTTGTCAGCTGTCTTGGTACATGCTACTAGCAAATGAGAGTTTTGCTACAGTCTATGCTCTATAATAATTCCTCAAGGTATATGTACAGAATGCATCTGGACCGCACCCGGAAGCTATTGTGTAGTTCCAGCGGTAGGCCCCTCACATTGAGTTGGCCATTTAGCTTTAGCGCAAACCTAACAACTATATTTCTGCCTGTTGCCGCAACGACCTTTCAATGCATTAAATGAGGTTGGCCTTCCCATTGGCAGGTCCCGCTATTTCTTAGTATGCTGCGGAGAAGTATAGTTCACGGCAGCGCCTAGGATGAAGAGTCCAGAAGTCTGAATATATCAGCCTCTATCAAGTATTCGTACTAATAGAGTAGTAAAAATCCCATACCGTAGCATGCTAAGAGTACTAATTCTATTGATACTTACTTTGAATAAGTATTAGTAACATGATACATTATGCATATTAGTTTCTACTTGGCTCCTACCGCCGAAACTAAGAAAAGTTCACATTATTACGTACAGGTACGACACGTGTATTGCGCGAAGATCAGTCACATCTATGAACTGTAATACGTGAAATTCAGCGTTCGTCTGAAGGAAAATCAAAACCCTTCTTTATACCAATACTGACGACAAGACAGGGGGCTCTGCAAGAGCCAAAGAAGACAGTGATAATCTCCTGACACGATGCTGGAAGCGACTCGCTCCACCTGTTTCTTACAAGTCTAAGCTGTCCGATAGGCTGAGCTACTTTCCACTTTCTAGAAGGATATAAAGGGCTGGAATGACAAGATGAGAATTTACCAGCGTTTAATTCGTCTCACGGGCAAAACCTGTCAATAGTATGTGCAACTTCTTCTCAACATCACTGTTTTGAAGCAAGACTACTTAAGCTTGTAGATTCAGACATATGCGTTAGCTCTTGTTACCGGGGATAAATGTACTCAACCTACAGTCGAGACAATAGGCATTTGGCCATCCGTAAATAACTCCATTCCGCCGGGTGGGCAAATACGTACTACCTCCCACTGTGGCATATAAATACAAATTTCAGAGTGTAACTTCATTGTCAGTACACGAGAGCAATTCCTGTAGTGATTTGCAAAAATAAAAATAAAGTTCATGTAAGCGGAAGACCGTATATTACTATCACTTGCTTGAGCAAGTTGCTTGCTTACATTCTACAACTATGCGTCAGGAGCCTTGCGCTTGTATCGAAGATGGCAAACGGACGAGAAAAACATATTACTTCCTATACAGATAACAAACACTTGAGTGCTGTAAGTAAATTCTTCCTAACAGTAATGTAGGCGGCCCTACATGAAGCATACGAACATTAAACCCATATCCAGAGGAGATTCTAGACGTGGCATGCGGCGCATCACAATAATGGAACCATGAAGAAAAACAAGGAAATTGCGCAAAGTTAACTTCAAAGAATAGGAAACAATACATGAAATTACAAAACAAGCACAAAAATTGCGATAGTTCCCGCGGCATACTAATGTCCAGATGTTAATAATAACCTCACTAAACTTCGAAGCCATCGTCGTCGGCAGGCTAGCCCACGATGCCGGCGACGTCAGAGACCCCAAGATGGTAACCAAGCTTGTGGCTGCGGCGGTCGCGCACCACAAACTCCATCAATGCAGAGTCCTCCTTGTGAGAAACTAAAGATCATATTTATTTTCCCAACACACTCCAGTGGTCGAGACGTGCAAGGATTATTGAGCAATCGACTCTAGTTCAAGTGCGCTCTGGGAGCCCTTGTATGGCATCGAAGGTAACACGTAGCGTTGCAGCGAAGGGAATCGGCCTTTGTCGATGGGACAAGCCGAGATGCGCCCCTTGTAGTCAAATCGCAAACCTAGGGCACCATAGATGCTTGTGACTGGCAAGGGCGGGCCACTAATAACGGTGCTAATCTCGGTAGTTCGGATGAAGCCATGGGTTTGCATCAAATAGATGGCCTGGGTGCTGGTATATGTCAGCCTATACAGTTTATACCTGTGTGGCCCGATAATAAGTTGGAAGAGTACTTACACGAAATCGCGACATCCAAAATACTGATTATCAAGGATGACAAAGTCAAATCGGGATGCTCGGTATTGGAGAAGCAACCCAATCACACGTCCAACAGTCCAATTCGGTTCAATAGGGAGACTGGAAGTCGAAAGTGTCTTGCTGGAAGGTCCAGAATTGCTGGTAGGGTTGACGCGAAGGAAGCCAGATTGAAACTTGACTAGTTGGCCATCCACAGAATCCGACTTGCTCTTGTAGTTATTGTCGACGGCCATTTCTAGTCGCATACCCCCATATTCATTATATGCATCCGCGAAGACGATCTTAAAGACTGCATGATTGGCAGCCTGCTTCTTCTCTTCGATGGGCTCGCCCCCAGTCGTTGTCCGTAAGAACTCTACCCACAATTTAGAGCAAACCGTACCCTCCAAGAATTTCTGAGGCAATACAAACGGGTTTTCGGTCAGGTTATAGCCTTGTTCAGAATAGACAAGGGGGGCCATTGTGATTCAGATCCAGAAAGATAACAACGGGAGGGAAGAGAAAGTAAATAGAAAGTAATGAGGTAAATCAGATGCCTTGGAGAAGATGTAGTGACTCTAGGCAGCCGAGGGACAGCAGCACACTCTTATACCCCTTTTGGCACTTGAGAAGTTCTAAAAATAAAATAATGTAAGGCTATGCAGACCACGAATCGTTGGGTGAGGAGCAGAGATGACAGCTGTCACACGGAGAAGTGACATATCCTTCCGAAGACGGTCAATATATCCTGCTGCAGCCGGAATCGGCTGCATCAGCACAAAGGATGCATCACGAGGGCCCATGAGGGGGTCAAGATGTCAAATCAGGTTTCAAAGATGAAAGCCCAAGGCAGCTTTGACCCGGATGCCTCAGTTATCTAGGTCAGGTTACACACACCTAGATTATCATGTGTAATATATACAGGTCGGGGGCCAGGCCCCCAGATTGATCGAACCAAGAACCTTTTAAACGAAGGACAACTATTTAAAGCTATTCACGAGCCCTCTATTGAACCCTTCTCACAACAGCCGCGGGCCACCTGGCACCGTGGCAAGATATCGCGGCAGCATTTCTGGAATATGCCATGGGCGCTAATTGAAACTGCAGTTTGACGAAGCGCCTTTACATGGCCGATCTTACAAGGCCATTCCTGATTCCATGTAATTCCACCTAATTTTGGATCTCTTTGCTCGACTAACAACCAACAACAGTTACACCTCGACCCGTCACGTGTCGCGTGTCACGTGGCTTCTCCCTCACTTGCTGAAGTCTGGCCTGTAAACTCTGTTCTCAACATCATTACAATCGCACACTGATTCCACTTGGCCCCGCAGCTTGCCTTCCTTTTATTCATCGGCCAGCAACACATTCATCGCGCTTGTAATACGTATTTCGCTCATCATGTCGAACACAGTACGTATGAGAAGAGAGTGGCACGGTTCAGCCCTGCCCTCGCATGTCACAATCCCGCTGCCGTCACCAGCGGAACTGGTGCGGCTCTGCACGAAATCTCACCCCCTTGGTTATACCATCGGCATGCCCTATCCAGATGCGGATTCTCCTGTATTTTGGATCAAGTATCGTTCGAAGCTTGTATGGAACGAGCTGGCCGCACAGAAAATGGCTCACGATGGACTTCGCGAGCTCAACTCCCCAGTCAAGGCACCAGCGGTATATTATGGCTGCCAGGTGACCGTCCATAAAGATGACGCCCATGCATGGCAAAGTCGAACATATTTTGTGATGGAGTATATCTCAGGCAAGACAGCAGCTCAACGCTTGGAAGAGGCAACTGATGATGCGACCAAGGATGACATATACAAACAAATAGCATTGGCTTTGTCAGAGTTGCATCGCATCCCAGTGCCCCAGGACTCGCGTCCCGCGGCGGTTAACGGAGAGACCATACGCCACGTGCTCTTTTACGACAACGAGGCTTCAATACATTACAGAAATGTAACTGAATTGGAAGAACACTTTAATGCGGTACGTTATACCCTGAGGTAATACTCGCATCATGTAATACTAACACTTCTTCACACCCTAGTTTCTCACTCTGACAAAAAGAAAACATCGTGTCAAGAATCTTGCGCAAGAACCCATGGTATTTTGTTACTCCGACATTTGGCTAGGCAACTTCATACTCGATGATCAGGGTCGCATTACGGTGGTGGACTTTGAGGACGCGAGTATTCTGCCGTCTAGCTTCTCCAAGCTTGTACTGGCCGGTACATGGGAGAAAATCGACAGAGACATTCGACACATGGTGGTAGTTCCACAAGCCAAAGACATTGACAACACACGCGCACTTGTTGCCATTTCTTACCCAATACAGGTGTGCGGAGGGTTTGCAAATGCCGGTCGCAAAATACTCGGATATTATGAGATAGAAGAAGCTGACAAGGTGGATAAGGTGGTGACAGACGAGCAAGGACAGCCTTTGTCTGCGCCAGCCATGACGAAGTTGACCCTGGAGCTGAGACGGCCCATAGCTGTGGAGGGTCTACCGCCGCCGCCGCCGGAGCCGCGGCATCGCCCGTATACTCCGCCCCCCATTGACCCAGCTTGGGAGCAGAAGTGGCTACAATATTTCGGGGGGGGACATGTCGCACAAGCAAGTTCAGAATCTCAGCCGTGTCCTAAACGCGCTTAATATAAATTTCATCTTGGTCTTCTTTAATCTATTGGCTGTTGAAACTGTTTATTAACATATTGCTGGGGCACAAAGAGAAAAGAGATGGATAAACATAGCTGTTAGCTTCGCTGTTAGCTTCGCTGTGTTACTGACTGAGACAACTCGGCGAAATGACCAAACCCGCGTAGCAATTTTGAGCACGCAAAACAAACCAATCATTTCCGGCTTGCTCACCGCAAGACATCTTGCACGTGTTGGGGAAGGCAAAAAGTTTCTGACAGCCCAGCCCAGTAAAAGACATTCAGCAGCGAAGCCCACACGAGACCCTGGTTCTTGTCAGCGCACCGAGTCATTTATCGGCCCAGAGGCCATAACTCGGGCCTGAACAGACACGAATCAAATATAAAAGGTACTTACAGTGGGGCGACAAAAGTGACGATAATGAACGCGCCCAACGCGCCTCGTCGCGTCACCTTGCATCTGCACCTTCTTTTTATTTTTTACATAACTTAACGAAAATAGACCCAATAACGCCTAGAACTAAATATAGCCCTTATAAGAGAGCTAGAATTATTTTAGCATTTAATTTAGGTATAACCGGAAAAGAGATCGCTGAATCTAAAGGAGTTCCGCTAGCTACCACGTACGGTATTCGTCGCCGCTATTACAAGCAAATGTCAGCCAAATCTTCACCACGTAGTGGCAGGCCACTAACGCTATAAGAAAGGGATAAAAGACGTATTTTTCAGTTAATTTAAAATGACCCTTTTATTCGAAATTAAGATATTTTAAATTAAGCTAACCTTTAATATTTATACGCATATTAAATCGGTTTCTAATTAAAGAGGGTATTTCATACTAAAAGGCCCTATAACAGCTTAAATTAACACTAGAGCTAGCTCGTAAAAGGCTAGAATTTACACGAAAATACCTTTATAAGTCCCCTGCCTTTTAGCGGCGTTAAATCTTCTCAGATAAGTGTATAATTAAGCGTAAAAAGGGGGAGAGGTAAAAGTTCGTTTTTTACCGGAAAGTACGTTAAAAAGAATAATAAATTATAGCTTTAATTAATATTTATAGGGTAAATAGCTTCTTTTATAGCATGTATAGCCTTAAAATAAGCCTATAAGGTATTCCTAGATATTCTAGGCTAGATTTACGTATAATAGAAGAACTTCTTTATACCTATTACTAGAAGACCTAAATTCCTAACGCGACGGCGTTATAGGCGCTCGAATCTTAGAATACCTTTAAGATTAACTTCCAACTATTACTAAACCCAGTTATATATTCGCCTAAGATAATACTCTAACACACATAGCTTTAATCGTATAAGATTAGTTAAGAAATTAGGCTATTAAATATAACGTAAAATTAATAGATTAGCTCGCATATTCGCTTAACCTAAGCCCTATTAAAAATCTATGGAAAGTAGTTAAAGATAATATTATAAAGCGTTATTTAAAGCTTAAAGGAATAACCTCTAATAATACTAGTAAATAACGCTTATATAAAGCTGTAATTAAGGCCTAGAAGCTTCTTAAAGATAACCTATTAAATAAGCTAATAGATTTAATACCGCGGCGAATTATCGCGACTATACGCGCCCGTGGGTAGTATATAAAATATTAATGTAATTTATTTAATAGATTTGCTAGCTAGATCCTAAAAAGGCTAGCTGTTTCAGCTAAAATTAGGCGTTAAACGCGCTTTTTTAGTTGATGTGTTGAGTGGCGAAATGGGGCGAAATTTTTACATTATCGTGACTTTTGTCAGGGCACTGTACATGAGTACCAAACCCACCAAACTTGCTGGAAGTCAATTGGCATGTCAAATTGACCAAGCTGCCGCCACAACTCTGTGCGGCTTGATGGAAGTACTTTGACTGTAGCACTGGCGTCGGCGACGCCTTCTTGCAGATGAAGTTCTATTTCTGGCAGCTCAGAAAATTCCCAGCCAAGGTCCTCAAACGGAAACGCTGGATCCTGCAAAGGTTGCGTCTCTCGCAGTGGCTGATCCATCTCAATGATTGGACGGGCCGGCAACGACCGGGCGGTAGGTCTGAGAGGTGCACGCTACACATATACTACTAATGTGAGATGGGCAAAGTAGATGGTAGTTGGATATACAAAGGTGTCAGACCTCATGGTGCAGAGACTGGCCTTAAATGGCTCGGGAACAGGTACAGAGGCGCGCAGTGCGTTGAGCTGGTCAAACAAGGGCTTTGCGCTTCTCGGTGAGCCTGGCATCCCTCTCCAAGGCCTCCTCCTGCTCCTGTAACTCCTTATCCTCATCCTCCTGCTCAGTAGCAATCTGTTTATCGGCGGAAGCCTTACGCTCCCGGTTACCCTTACGAAGGGTCTCCACTGTCTCCTTTAATACCGGGTTATCAGGAATATAACCGGCCAGTTCCTTAACTGCCTCTTACAGTTCTAAGGCGAAGTCTATGCACACCTCTAGGGGGTCTATAAGGACCAGGTTAACTATCTCTTGCCTGGTTTTTATCTTAGCTATTCTTAGCAGGGTAATAAAGACCTTAGCGACGTGTATATTCTAGAACTCCTAAGATTTAACGTCTTCCTTGCTAACCTTCTTAATAACTTTAACGAACACGCTTAGCCTTAAGGTAAGCTTAACCGTGGTATTAGTATGCGGATTAAACTCCTTTAGATTCATGTCCTTAAGGATGGATCACGCTAGACGGTTAAAGGATAACCCGAGATACATGCGCTATAGCTCACAGATAACCACCTCCTGTAGCATATTGTTTATCTAGGGGCTTAGTTTTGCCTCAGCTGAGAGCTGGATGGCATGTTTCTCTAGCATAACACGCTCTTAATAATCGTGAAATGAGTTTTTAACCTTGATAAAGTGCCATGTGACGGCCTTCGTTTGGCCGATCCGGTGAAGACGACACTTGGATCGAGGACTACAAGTCTTCGGCGAGATTCTGACAGGCATGAAGAGAGCTAAGAAAACGTCAGTGGCGTACAAGATTTAGTACAAATTGAAGCAGCGGGCCACATCTCGAAACGTCATGTGTGGGCTGGTAGCAAGTTTCCGAGTATGGTGCATGATGGAGCGCAAATTCTGCACCATTAAGCCCACTCGTATCCCATTCATTGCGTCTTATGTAGGGGGGGCGTCTCAGAAGCAATGACATCCACTTGTCTCCGATGAAGACAGCCCACCAAAGCCTTCGACGAAGACTTTGTTTTCCTGTGCCGGAATGCCAAACGCTCAAGATGTATCCCCAGGCTACGACCAAGACCAACAATAGAGCACAAAGTGACTATATGAGTGGAGTATCAGAAGAGGCATAACGACACCGATCATTGCTGGTTTTGTGCAGATATAGCAACGAGGCTTGCAACGTCGATAACCGCGGTCGATGAATGGCTTCCTGGAGAGCTTTGTAGACAATGGGCCATATTTTATCTAGTCGAGGTTGTTGATTGCCGTGCGTAACAGCGAGTTGGTCGTCGTTTAGGGCAAATGGCAGAGCAGAACCGTATACGCCTCACAGCGAGTGGGTTGGAATGCTTTCTAAGATTGTGCGTTCAGGGACCGACTCGATTGACGCGAGGCCGAACTGCGATCGTGAAATGACGGGAAATGCTGGGAACACGCATTTGTGGAATCTTGGGCTGGTTAGTCCATCAATGATGCTGGGTTGAGGCGATATTCAGAACGTACAATCGAACTAGTCGTGTCCAATGAGTTGGAGAGACCAAGCTCAGTTCTCAGTTCTCTCTCGTTATCAAGTCTAGTTTCAGCTGCGCTGCTCTCGAATAACTCGTCACCATTCAGCAAAAGCTGTATCGGTATTTTGTCTCTAGTCGGAACACCACAAGCATAGTGATGATGGACCCTGTGAAAGGACCGAAGGCCCAACTCGCCAAAAAGACAATGTCGTAACAGCCAGGGGCCCGATTCGAAAGAGCCCCCAAGGAGCTGGGCTGTATCCCCCTGGATTGGATCTAGACCATGCAACAGTTGGGTAGATGGGCGATGCAGATGTAGTTCCGCTATCAGAGACGTACCCAATGCCTGAGCAAAACTATTTCGCAGTGGCTCTTCCGAGCCTGCAACAGCTGCTTCTTCGATCGATGACGATATACCAAAGGAGATATCTTGGTCACGCACTCTGGTAGGAAGAGGAAACTCATGATGCTAAACGTTGGGTGTGCTGCGCTCATCAATCATCGAGCCATGTCGCTCTTGTCGGCTGAGTGGCGGAGGTCGTCGTCGCGGTTTGCCAACGAAGGTGCAGGCCACGTTGTTCCGTTGATATCGTTGACAATGGGGCTCGCTGTGAGTTTGACACCCCAACTTCCCCCCACGACATCGGTCGCAGGGTCTCTGTCGTTTCTGGGACCGGTGAGCCCGTGTATCACTACCAGGGTCTGATGCCGGCGTGGATGACATGGCTCAGACTGGACAATCGGCAAGTTTCAAGAAGAATGAAAGAGCTCGGCGAATTTGCTCAACGCCAAGACCAAGGGTATTGCAAATCCAATCTGGAGTTGAACTGTCACAGCTGGACTTTTCTGCAGTGCCTCAACTCTGATGGGGAATTCGCAATAAAACCCCTTGAAACCTGTTGTGGAAGAGGAGAGAAGCTGGCAATTTTTGAGGCGGACAGCACTCAGCTGACTTGAGTCAAGCCAGCGACAACCGCTGCCGTCACCCAAAACGCCCTTTCTGACTTCGGGCTTGTGCAATAGAAGCATCGGGTGCCATTTACTATCTGCTCCGTCCAGTCCTCCAGCTCGTTCTTGACGTCGTAGCCCTCTGGAACAAGGCGTGGGTCTCCCGCCGCCGCCGCCGGAGCCGCGGCATCGCCCGTATACTCCGCCCCCCATTGACCCAGCTTGGGAGCAGAAGTGGCTACAATATTTCGGGGGGGGACATGTCGCACAAGCAAGTTCAGAATCTCAGCCGTGTCCTAAACGCGCTTAATATAAATTTCATCTTGGTCTTCTTTAATCTATTGGCTGTTGAAACTGTTTATTAACATATTGCTGGGGCACAAAGAGAAAAGAGATGGATAAACATAGCTGTTAGCTTCGCTGTTAGCTTCGCTGTGTTACTGACTGAGACAACTCGGCGAAATGACCAAACCCGCGTAGCAATTTTGAGCACGCAAAACAAACCAATCATTTCCGGCTTGCTCACCGCAAGACATCTTGCACGTGTTGGGGAAGGCAAAAAGTTTCTGACAGCCCAGCCCAGTAAAAGACATTCAGCAGCGAAGCCCACACGAGACCCTGGTTCTTGTCAGCGCACCGAGTCATTTATCGGCCCAGAGGCCATAACTCGGGCCTGAACAGACACGAATCAAATATAAAAGGTACTTACAGTGGGGCGACAAAAGTGACGATAATGAACGCGCCCAACGCGCCTCGTCGCGTCACCTTGCATCTGCACCTTCTTTTTATTTTTTACATAACTTAACGAAAATAGACCCAATAACGCCTAGAACTAAATATAGCCCTTATAAGAGAGCTAGAATTATTTTAGCATTTAATTTAGGTATAACCGGAAAAGAGATCGCTGAATCTAAAGGAGTTCCGCTAGCTACCACGTACGGTATTCGTCGCCGCTATTACAAGCAAATGTCAGCCAAATCTTCACCACGTAGTGGCAGGCCACTAACGCTATAAGAAAGGGATAAAAGACGTATTTTTCAGTTAATTTAAAATGACCCTTTTATTCGAAATTAAGATATTTTAAATTAAGCTAACCTTTAATATTTATACGCATATTAAATCGGTTTCTAATTAAAGAGGGTATTTCATACTAAAAGGCCCTATAACAGCTTAAATTAACACTAGAGCTAGCTCGTAAAAGGCTAGAATTTACACGAAAATACCTTTATAAGTCCCCTGCCTTTTAGCGGCGTTAAATCTTCTCAGATAAGTGTATAATTAAGCGTAAAAAGGGGGAGAGGTAAAAGTTCGTTTTTTACCGGAAAGTACGTTAAAAAGAATAATAAATTATAGCTTTAATTAATATTTATAGGGTAAATAGCTTCTTTTATAGCATGTATAGCCTTAAAATAAGCCTATAAGGTATTCCTAGATATTCTAGGCTAGATTTACGTATAATAGAAGAACTTCTTTATACCTATTACTAGAAGACCTAAATTCCTAACGCGACGGCGTTATAGGCGCTCGAATCTTAGAATACCTTTAAGATTAACTTCCAACTATTACTAAACCCAGTTATATATTCGCCTAAGATAATACTCTAACACACATAGCTTTAATCGTATAAGATTAGTTAAGAAATTAGGCTATTAAATATAACGTAAAATTAATAGATTAGCTCGCATATTCGCTTAACCTAAGCCCTATTAAAAATCTATGGAAAGTAGTTAAAGATAATATTATAAAGCGTTATTTAAAGCTTAAAGGAATAACCTCTAATAATACTAGTAAATAACGCTTATATAAAGCTGTAATTAAGGCCTAGAAGCTTCTTAAAGATAACCTATTAAATAAGCTAATAGATTTAATACCGCGGCGAATTATCGCGACTATACGCGCCCGTGGGTAGTATATAAAATATTAATGTAATTTATTTAATAGATTTGCTAGCTAGATCCTAAAAAGGCTAGCTGTTTCAGCTAAAATTAGGCGTTAAACGCGCTTTTTTAGTTGATGTGTTGAGTGGCGAAATGGGGCGAAATTTTTACATTATCGTGACTTTTGTCAGGGCACTGTACATGAGTACCAAACCCACCAAACTTGCTGGAAGTCAATTGGCATGTCAAATTGACCAAGCTGCCGCCACAACTCTGTGCGGCTTGATGGAAGTACTTTGACTGTAGCACTGGCGTCGGCGACGCCTTCTTGCAGATGAAGTTCTATTTCTGGCAGCTCAGAAAATTCCCAGCCAAGGTCCTCAAACGGAAACGCTGGATCCTGCAAAGGTTGCGTCTCTCGCAGTGGCTGATCCATCTCAATGATTGGACGGGCCGGCAACGACCGGGCGGTAGGTCTGAGAGGTGCACGCTACACATATACTACTAATGTGAGATGGGCAAAGTAGATGGTAGTTGGATATACAAAGGTGTCAGACCTCATGGTGCAGAGACTGGCCTTAAATGGCTCGGGAACAGGTACAGAGGCGCGCAGTGCGTTGAGCTGGTCAAACAAGGGCTTTGCGCTTCTCGGTGAGCCTGGCATCCCTCTCCAAGGCCTCCTCCTGCTCCTGTAACTCCTTATCCTCATCCTCCTGCTCAGTAGCAATCTGTTTATCGGCGGAAGCCTTACGCTCCCGGTTACCCTTACGAAGGGTCTCCACTGTCTCCTTTAATACCGGGTTATCAGGAATATAACCGGCCAGTTCCTTAACTGCCTCTTACAGTTCTAAGGCGAAGTCTATGCACACCTCTAGGGGGTCTATAAGGACCAGGTTAACTATCTCTTGCCTGGTTTTTATCTTAGCTATTCTTAGCAGGGTAATAAAGACCTTAGCGACGTGTATATTCTAGAACTCCTAAGATTTAACGTCTTCCTTGCTAACCTTCTTAATAACTTTAACGAACACGCTTAGCCTTAAGGTAAGCTTAACCGTGGTATTAGTATGCGGATTAAACTCCTTTAGATTCATGTCCTTAAGGATGGATCACGCTAGACGGTTAAAGGATAACCCGAGATACATGCGCTATAGCTCACAGATAACCACCTCCTGTAGCATATTGTTTATCTAGGGGCTTAGTTTTGCCTCAGGTGAGAGCTGGATGGCATGTTTCTCTAGCATAACACGCTCTTAATAATCGTGAAATGAGTTTTTAACCTTGATAAAGTGCCATGTGACGGCCTTCGTTTGGCCGATCCGGTGAAGACGACACTTGGATCGAGGACTACAAGTCTTCGGCGAGATTCTGACAGGCATGAAGAGAGCTAAGAAAACGTCAGTGGCGTACAAGATTTAGTACAAATTGAAGCAGCGGGCCACATCTCGAAACGTCATGTGTGGGCTGGTAGCAAGTTTCCGAGTATGGTGCATGATGGAGCGCAAATTCTGCACCATTAAGCCCACTCGTATCCCATTCATTGCGTCTTATGTAGGGGGGGCGTCTCAGAAGCAATGACATCCACTTGTCTCCGATGAAGACAGCCCACCAAAGCCTTCGACGAAGACTTTGTTTTCCTGTGCCGGAATGCCAAACGCTCAAGATGTATCCCCAGGCTACGACCAAGACCAACAATAGAGCACAAAGTGACTATATGAGTGGAGTATCAGAAGAGGCATAACGACACCGATCATTGCTGGTTTTGTGCAGATATAGCAACGAGGCTTGCAACGTCGATAACCGCGGTCGATGAATGGCTTCCTGGAGAGCTTTGTAGACAATGGGCCATATTTTATCTAGTCGAGGTTGTTGATTGCCGTGCGTAACAGCGAGTTGGTCGTCGTTTAGGGCAAATGGCAGAGCAGAACCGTATACGCCTCACAGCGAGTGGGTTGGAATGCTTTCTAAGATTGTGCGTTCAGGGACCGACTCGATTGACGCGAGGCCGAACTGCGATCGTGAAATGACGGGAAATGCTGGGAACACGCATTTGTGGAATCTTGGGCTGGTTAGTCCATCAATGATGCTGGGTTGAGGCGATATTCAGAACGTACAATCGAACTAGTCGTGTCCAATGAGTTGGAGAGACCAAGCTCAGTTCTCAGTTCTCTCTCGTTATCAAGTCTAGTTTCAGCTGCGCTGCTCTCGAATAACTCGTCACCATTCAGCAAAAGCTGTATCGGTATTTTGTCTCTAGTCGGAACACCACAAGCATAGTGATGATGGACCCTGTGAAAGGACCGAAGGCCCAACTCGCCAAAAAGACAATGTCGTAACAGCCAGGGGCCCGATTCGAAAGAGCCCCCAAGGAGCTGGGCTGTATCCCCCTGGATTGGATCTAGACCATGCAACAGTTGGGTAGATGGGCGATGCAGATGTAGTTCCGCTATCAGAGACGTACCCAATGCCTGAGCAAAACTATTTCGCAGTGGCTCTTCCGAGCCTGCAACAGCTGCTTCTTCGATCGATGACGATATACCAAAGGAGATATCTTGGTCACGCACTCTGGTAGGAAGAGGAAACTCATGATGCTAAACGTTGGGTGTGCTGCGCTCATCAATCATCGAGCCATGTCGCTCTTGTCGGCTGAGTGGCGGAGGTCGTCGTCGCGGTTTGCCAACGAAGGTGCAGGCCACGTTGTTCCGTTGATATCGTTGACAATGGGGCTCGCTGTGAGTTTGACACCCCAACTTCCCCCCACGACATCGGTCGCAGGGTCTCTGTCGTTTCTGGGACCGGTGAGCCCGTGTATCACTACCAGGGTCTGATGCCGGCGTGGATGACATGGCTCAGACTGGACAATCGGCAAGTTTCAAGAAGAATGAAAGAGCTCGGCGAATTTGCTCAACGCCAAGACCAAGGGTATTGCAAATCCAATCTGGAGTTGAACTGTCACAGCTGGACTTTTCTGCAGTGCCTCAACTCTGATGGGGAATTCGCAATAAAACCCCTTGAAACCTGTTGTGGAAGAGGAGAGAAGCTGGCAATTTTTGAGGCGGACAGCACTCAGCTGACTTGAGTCAAGCCAGCGACAACCGCTGCCGTCACCCAAAACGCCCTTTCTGACTTCGGGCTTGTGCAATAGAAGCATCGGGTGCCATTTACTATCTGCTCCGTCCAGTCCTCCAGCTCGTTCTTGACGTCGTAGCCCTCTGGAACAAGGCGTTCATAACCCCCTCCAAATCTGGCTCTTGTGAGGAGTAGATGGGATGGTCACGGTGGTCGGCCAGATGCAAATCGAAGTCATGGTTGTAGGGCGTCGATTTCTTGGTCTTGGTCGTTGCCGAGGTGGGAAGGATAGAGGTTGGATCTGTGGACTTGGTCCTCGGGCTTCGTGAAGATTGGGTCGCGGTCATAGCGGCAGGTTGACGGTGGAGGAGGAGGAGGGCGCTGATGACTGGCCTGGCGGTTGTGATCCTCCACTGCCAATGGGTCAGCAAGCTCTTGGATAGTCTGTTCCCAGAAGTGGGGAGAATATTTCCAAGATGCCCGAGCGTCGAGTTCGTCTTCATCTTCTTGGCTGGGGATCGGCGGTGTTGGCTCGCAATTCTTCGGCGCGCTGCCGCTTTCGATTCGGCGGTGTTGCTATGGGGAATCCATGGCCGAGAGACGAGGTAGAGGGGATTTGGGAGCGGGATATTCAAGTCGTTAGGTCGCTGTTTGTGGTCCGCGTTTTGAGCTGGGGCTGTAGGCAGTACTTGAAGGTCAACTGGTGCTAGCGGCTGGGGTGTGGAGGAATCATTGACATCTGTAAGGTGTAAAAGGTCCACGGATACCCAGTGTAGGTAGCTTATCCGTGGGCTTTGGGTAAGTATAGGTAAGAAAAAAAAAACTTGAATGAATTTATAAGAGAAAATAAGTTATTTATTATTATTTATCATTAATTTTAAGTAATTACTAATCGGCTAGTGTGTCTAACGTATTGCGATGCGTGTACTTATAGTGTCTTGCGTGATTAGTTACGGTTCCCTAGCTTAGGTACAGCCAAAATATATTATTACTAGATGCCCTTTATCTAGCCCGTTTTTTTGATTTTTTTTTAAATAAGTTAATTAATTTGAAGTAATATTAAGTATTTATTTAAGACTTAATTTTTTATTTAATATATAATAATTACTACATGTAGAAGTACTAGAATAGCTTATAATAGCTCTAGGGTACCCAATAATAATAATACTATATAAAAATTTATTAATAAGTTATAATAAATAAACTTATAATACTTACAAATATTATAAGTAACCTATTATTTTTATAGGTTACTTATAATATACTAAATAACTTATATAATAAAATAGGTAACCCACGAATAACCTGAGAAAAACTTGGATACCCACGAGTACCTAGGGGTACCCGTTTTACACCCTAGACATCTGGATGTGGGGAGGAACGTTTCGGGCCGCCTGCGGGTCTAGTCGGCGGCTTATTTCCCCGGGATGCTGTTAGCTAGCCGTTTTATTTTAGCCGCTGGGAATTGTTAGAATGGGTCACTTATTACGGGTATAAATTACGTACGTATAATTAGATAAGGGTAAACCCTTAACTATAAGTAAATAACCCTAATAATAAGCGCACTTATAAAAAGAGTATATATAATTCTCTCTTTTATAATTAAATATAAACTTATATATATATATTATTATTATAATTAATACTCTTTAAAGTATAATAATTATAAGCTTAAGAGAACTTTAAATTTCTTATAACTTTTACTTAAGAAAATTAAGTATTTAAGGTATTATTTTAAT